GACCAAAACATTTATCAACATGATAATAATATCATTATTTAAATGTTATTTTTATTTTAGCAATAAACATGATGCATGAGATAATGTAAAGCTGATAAGAGAGAATATGCTTTGGAACATAAACCTTGGAGCACATCCACAATAAATAAATAGAAACAAAAGAGTCTTCCTAGGAGAAATATTTAGAAAAGAAACAAAAAAGGTTTATTTGAGGAAAGAGAGAAGTTGAAGGGAAGGTGAAGAGAAGATGAAAAGGACAAGTGAGAAAGAAGACAATAGAGAAAGGTCCGTGAAGAACATTACTAATTACTAATGCCGCATTGGGTGTCCTTCAATTCAATAATTAGGTTACCCTTCATCATGTTCACACTCCCCACGTGCTTATTCAGGGTCACTACACCTCACATTTTTAATCAACACACCATGTTATGTTCCATTCCAACCACATAAACAATAAAACAATAAATTAACTCACCCATATGGGGTTTACCATTTGGCCCGTTTTATGGGGCCCACCACGCCTTTCACCTGCACAAGCACAATATAAATAAATCTCCATTTTCTTTATTTTTTTTTTTCCCAAACTTACAACTTACATTCAATTAATGATTTAAATGTTGTTTTTGTTCAAAAGACACGTCTCTTAGGAAAATAAAATAAAAAATACTCTAGTTGTTATTTTAAAATAATAAGATCCCTTTTCTATACTTCAACCTTATCCGAAAACCTTTCCTTAATAAAACATGACATTATGAAAGAATAAGATTTGAAGTATTTTGACAAAATATTTATAGATACAAGAATGAATTTATTTTAAACGTTCGGTGTAAATATTTTTATATTAAATTTTTTTGACAAAATATTTATAGATACAAAATTGTTTTTGACATTGTGATTCCATTATGGGTCGATAAGTTTGATAATTTTGAATTTTAATAAGTACCCCAAAAGTTTATGTATGACAATATTTTTGATTAAGTGACAAGTTCTGTAAAAAAATGATCGACAAGTTAAAAGTCTTTGTATTGTGTATGGAATCAAATTCGATAAATATTTCCTCCCAAAATAAAATAAAAATTTTATATTTTGATTAAAAGTACCCAATTGTCTATGCAGTTGCTATGTTATATCTTTTATATCCTCCCTTTAAGTAGTCAGAGAAAAAGAGATATTTTGTATCTCTATTAAAAAATAAAAAATAAAATGAGAAAGAGAAGGGAGGTTAAATAAGAAATGAAAATGTTTGGTTACTTTGAAATTAAAATTAAAATTATAAATAAAATTAAAACGATAAATTAAAAGAAATAAGAAGTTAAAAAAATTTGAAAACACAACGTCGAAGAAATCTCCCTGCACCTTAAAAAATATCTCTGAAAAGAAAAGGTGAATATCATCCTTAATCTTTGTAATAGTTATAAATTATATTTATATATAAAATGAAATAATTATATTAAACGAGAATAATTTTAAAAATTATTTTTAAATGAAATCATTTTTAGTTTTTTTTTTAATGTAAACATTTTTAAGATTTTTTTTTCTCAATCATTTGAAATTTTAGTTTTAAATTAATTTTCAATATAACCGTATGCATTAGTATATAATTAGGCATCATACACTCACATAATTTATTCAATGATACACTCACATAATCTATTCAATGATACACTCACATAATCTATTCAATGTATCTCATGTTTGATTTTTATCTATGTCAAAATCCTTTAGATGAGATGACACTCACAATATAATAAATGGTACTAGCCTTTAGTTCATTAAACTAAAGATATTTTTAATAACTAAAAATAATTTTATATTATAATATAAATTTTTTATGAGTTTAAAATATAATTTATATATTAAAAATTTATTTATTAAAATTTTTATTTATAATATATTTTTTATATTGAAAATATTTATTTATTAAAAATTATAAATATATAAAATAAACATTTATCATGTGCATTACACATATTACTCCTTAAATTAAAATATAATTTAAATATAATTTTAGTCTCTACAAAATGAACAAACTTTAATTTTACTTCTTGTAAAAATTTTACTTTGATTTTTATTCCTCTTAAACTTGTAATTATTGTGTTTTAATAATCATTATTAACTAATTATTTTATTTATTAAAATATTGAATGATCATTTTAGATATTACTCATGACTATTAATTATATTATTTTAATGTATGACATCTTATGGTCCTTGAAATGAATGTTATTGTAACAACCCAGCTGGTCACTACACACCGCACAGCACACTAGAAACACCACACAGAAAGGAACAAGTGTATACATATAGGGTCTAGAATATATACATATACATGATCTAAGTCTGGATAGAGTTAAAGTGTACAAAATACAACAAAGGCTACTACACTAAGTAGTTAAACATCAAAAGATCCTAGAAGATCAACTCTGTCTACCAGCTACAGACTCACCATCAGCCACCAACCTATCCATGTTCTGCTCCCATACATAGTATGATCATCGCAGTCCAAACATCATGGAGACAACAAAAAGGTAAGCTAGTGAAAAGAAATCATCATACATATATAGCAATATGAATGGTAAACAACTACAGCTATCAGCACATCAATCAGCTTATACTACACCACAACAATTCAGCAATATCAGCACCGCAAAGCGGCAATTTCAGCACTACATAGCAGCAATAACAGCACCACTCTAGTGGCTATACCAGCACCGCATAGCGGCAATAACAGCACCGACTTAGCGGCTATAACAGCACCACAATAGTGGCTAATAACAGCACCGACATAGCGACAATAACAGCACCACAATAGTGGCTAATAACAACACCGACATAGCAGCAATAACAGCACCAACTTAGCGGCTATAACAACATATAACTCAGCATTATACAGCACAGCCAAACAGCTCACAACACAGCACAACAAATCAGCATACAACATGGCTAAGTAGTATCCAACACGGCTAAGTAGTATCCAACACAGCTTACTACTCACAACTTAGCTCATCATTCTAGAGCACAACAATATTATAAATCAGCATTTAAAATAATCAATAACAGCACAGCTCAGCACAACAATATACATCTATTACAGCTTAACATCATCTTTCAGCATTAACATCTAGTCAGCACATCATATTCATCAATTTCAGTTTAGTTCAGCGTAAAACAACATCTATCAACAATTTCAGCAAGGTTTAACAACTATCAACATCTAAATCATCATCATCATACGCGCCCAGCGCACTCATGGTCGCGCCCGGCGTGGCACAACCAGAGAGCACCAGGGGCCATCTCGCCCGGCACAAGAATACTCGTGCCTGGCGTGACCTAACCAGAGAGCCCAAGGCTCTCACGCGCCTGACGCAATTCAGCTTTGCGCCTAGCACATGCCCAGGCAGAGACTCCAAGGAGTCTCATGCGCCCAGCGTGGCCTAACCCGCGCCCAGCGTGGCCTAACCCGCGCTTAGCGTGGGGAAGGCAGAGACCTACCAAGGTCTCGCACCCGGTGTAATTTGTATTGCGCCTAGCGCCCTCTTGGCAGAGACTCCCAAGGAGTCTCCGTGCCCAGCTCAACAATGGTGGCGCCCAGCGCAGCACCAGAAAACCCAAAACATAGCACAACTGATATCGCGCCCGGCGCGGTCCAGGTCACGCCGGCGTGGGCCATCTAGAGGCCCCCATTCTCAAGCTCGCCCGGTGCACACACCTTTGCGCCCGGTGAGCTTGCCTACATGGAGCCCCTGATGGTCTCGCGCCTGGCGCGAAGAACTGCGCCCAGCGCGAAGCTCAGCAACAACTTTCCCAAGTTCGAAAATTTGCCCAAAATCTACAAAAATCAACAAATAACCAACATGCAATCCAGCCAAAAGTCTCCATTTTCATCAAGCATCACGAAAAATGCCTCATTTTCAACATGCAATCACAAACCATCAAGAATCCCCAAAATTTCATCAAAACCCCGAAACCCAAAACTCCATTCGAAACCCAAAACTCCATTTTTAACAGCCACCTCAGCTCAAATTTATCAAACAATCAAACCATCAAGGAGTTCCTAGAACTCGTTTTCAGCCAAACACAGCAAAAGACTAACTTCCCTTACCTCGGTTCAACGGCTCCGAACTTCGGGAAGAAGAGAATGATGAAGAAGAAGAAGAATAAGCTTGAGGGGGACTCCGCACGGCTCAGCTCAACCCAACACTAGGTATCAGCACCTTGAATCCAAGCAAAGAGAGAATGATCAGCCAAATGAAGATTTTAGAGGGAAGAAGAGAGTTTGAGTGAGTGGGGAGGGAGTTGGGAAGAAAGAAAAACGGAAGGGGTCTCATAGTTATTCATACAAAAATAATAATTTTTAGATTTTAGAGAAATTAAAAAAACATCTTTTTTATAATAATTAAAATTAAAATCTACTCATTTTATGATGATGAAAAATATTTTATAAAAACAAAAATAATATTTACAAATTTTTAAAAGAAAAAAATGATATGATCAAAATTAATTTTTTTTTTATTTTTAAAGACTAAAATCATATTTAAACTTTAAAATAATCATATGAGAATATTTTTAAAAATTATTTTTAAAATTTTAAACCTTTTTTTAATCAACAAGAGTATATTTTAGGGATTTTACTTAATATCTTATCTCTCTTAATATATTTTTTCACTATTATTTTTAAATTAAATTTCAGTTTCTTATAAAAGTTATAAAAAAAATTAAAATATATGTGTATCATTATATTAATTATTCATGAAAAAATTAAATGTAATTTGCATAACTAAAATTTAAATATAAAAATAATATTATTTAATTTAAACTTTAGTTAATAAAATAAATATTGTTATTTAAATTACACATGATAAAATGCTATTATTATGAAATTTAAAAATACAAAAAAGATGAGTTAGTTGATTGGTTGCTTTTGATACATATACTCCTCCAACCACCAATATTCTTTGTCTCTGTAAAACTCTTGTCTTTGTCTCTCTCTTTCTCTCTTTTTCTCTTTCTCTCCCGAAGATAAGGCAGAGAAGAGGAGGAAAGAGGCTCCCCCCCG